CATGCTCATGGTAAAGTGTCCCATACAAAGCCAACCCTTTTCATTCCTTTAAGCCACCCAAGATTTTTGAGTGTGAGCACACCAGAAACAACCTGTATGTCCACACATGTGCCAGCCCTTTGGAAGGAAGGATCCACTGGTGAAATTGTGACAGCCAGGAAACAAACCATTCCCTCAGTCCCCATCCCTCCACAAAAATCACCTGGTACCTTATGGCCGAGTTGCTGCAGCTCCTGGCTCTCCCCAGGCTGATTTTTGCTGTCAGGGGCATTCTACATCATTCCATGGGAATTCTATGGGTCTCCTTCCCTAATTCAGGCCAAAAAAAGTAATAGAGATGAGTCCATTTGTGTTTCACAGAGTAACAGAGGCACAGAAGGGCCCCGCTGGAAGGGAGCACAGTGGGTCACCTGGTCCCACCTCCTGTCCAAGCAGGGTCATCCCAGAGCCCACTGCAGTTTTGCAGACAGATAGTTCTGGATTATCTTTCTGTTTTTGGACACAGAGTCCAGTTTTTGCTTTGAATGAAATCTACAGGCAGCCACACTCATTTTAAAATGGGACTCTGCATGCAGGGAAACAACACTTTGTGTTTTAATTTTTTGGGGGCATAATCTAGGAGCATTGTTATTCCCTACCTTTTGATTGCAGTTGACTTAATGGACACATGTAAGAACACAAATACTGCCTAACCAGCTTTATTTTATTATCAGCAATAATGAGTAGCAACCCATTAATTTTAAAAGTTGAGGTATACACTGTAAAGTTAATGAGAACCCAGAGTCAATTAAAATAACAACAATTAAGCCATTTTATTGATTTTTCAGCTATCTTTTTTTCTGTAGCAATTTTGTGGCACATACCACAGATCACCTGTGTTGTATATTTCAATGCAGATGATAATTTCCATTTAAAAACTATTTTACTTTATTATGACTGAACAAGACACCCTGCTTTAAAAATTCTGGTTTACTACTATATATCTAAACTATGCCATTTATACAATTTTGTAAACTTTTAAACCATTTTTCAAGCTTAAAATTTCTTAAAAGTTGGATTAGGAGAGTCTGGGATAGGTGAAAGTCTTTCCCACCCCATATTTTGTATGTGTTAATTCAAGGTTCTCTTCTGGAGAAGAACTTTTTTCCCCCTAAATTTATTTTCAACTACTTTTGTTTTCCTTGAGGGACCTTTGAAACACTATATTGCTACTTTTCATGTTTTTTATTTGCCCTCTGGAACAATAAAGGCTCAAAGGTTCATAAATATGCATTCTGTAAATGTATTATGCTGACAAAGTGTTGCTCAGATAGCTGCTTTTGCCTTTAGGGAATGAATAAGTTTACAGCATGCTTAAAAAACAGTGTAAGAGGAAAGAGAGAGAGGGAGAGCTGTGTCAGCGTGTGGGCTGAAAATGGAACAAAAGAGTTATCCTGAATGCACAGAAAAGAGAAAATAAAGTTAGGTAAGACACAACAGCTAGCACCTTGCAAGTTGCAGGGGTCGGGATTTGAGGGCGCTGCTCATCAGTGACGTACCTGAGAGGGCATCATATCTTGTTTTCCAGGAAGGCTGCATAGACAAGAGCCCATAAATCAAACATTTTTTGCTAATTTTGGCACATGAATCAGGGTAACTCCTTTGTTCTTCCCAAAACATTCACATCCTGGCAGAGTCCTTGTCCTGGTTCATTCTTACCCGATCAGACACAGATCTGCTTCAGTCACCCCTGCCTTGCTGCAAGCTCAGGGCTGTTGCTTGTCAACACTTTTGGCAAGAAGAAAACATTTAGCAAATAGAAATACCATTTAAACACATACCTCCAAACTGGCTTATTGATGTTACTGTGACAGTAGACTTTGACAAATAAGACTCCAGACCTGGGAACTGGTCTCAGCAAAGTTTTGGTAGGGGGGCGACAGGTGGCTCCTGTGAGCAGCTGCTGGAAGCCTCTCCCAGGTCTGCTGGAGCCAGTGCCAGGCAGCTCCAGGCTGCTGGCCAAGGCTGAGCCCAGCAGCAGTGGTGGTGCCATAGTTGGGATAACATATTTAGGGGACAGGCAGGAACTGCACAACACAAATTTCAGCCAGAGAGAGAAGAGAGAAAAGAGAAAGCAGCAGCTCTGCAGACACCAAGGGCAGGGAGGAGGGAGAGGCAGGAGGTACTCCAGGTGGCAGAGCAGAGATTCCCCTGCAGCCCCTGGTGCAGCCCATGGTGAGGTAGCTGTGCCCCTGCAGCCCAGGGCAGTCCATGGGGGCAGAGATCCACCAATAAACCTGGAGACAGGAGCATTGCACAGTGATGCTTCTTGTCTCCTGTGGGTGCAATGCAGAGCTGAGCCAGCCCAAGCTGCTTCTATTCCCACTTGGAATCATATGCACATCCACAGGCATACTCTGGGTCCACTCTTCACAGGATGGTGACTTCTCCAAAAGTAGGAGTCTCCATCTGTACTTATGGCTGAACAAGGCTACAGGTGATCTCTTAGACCTACAAATTTTAAGCCCCTGACAACTCATATGGATAAAATCCAAAAGCATAACATACCCAACCAGCTGCTACCCTCAATTTTTTAATAATCTTTAAGCTACTGGTTCAATGTCTCTTAAGCACATATATTTTCCTACTTCATTATCTAGCTTTGTGTCTGGTTCTTTTCTTGACGAGTGTCATGGGATCACCTATTTTACATGCCAATATTGGCTACTAAAGTTATTCTTTGTGACCTGAGATTGTCTTAAGCTACCTTGATCATTTAAAAGCCAATCTTTCCTGCTCTCCTTCACTTCATTCCTTTATTTTATGTTACATTTCTCTTAGGCCAGCATTAAATATTTAAAGCTTCTTGATATTTTTTTCATAAGATTTTTTTCTATTCTTGCTTTGTTTCTTCTTCTCAACAGTAGGAAAAAACAATTTCCATCTGAACAGTCAAAGAATGCTCCTTTAGCCATGTAAACAATTAACAATGGTTGCAAAAGTAAAGTATCAACAGACTACAAAAGCCCCATCAAATAGTGTCTGGCATGTTGTATTACACTATTCTCAGAAACCTCCAAAACCCCTTATTTGAAACCAAGTTAAAAATCTTGTATGACTACATGCCATAAAGAAAAGCCAAGCTTACAATCTAATTATTCTCCTCAGAGAAGGCAATTCTTAGCAAAAATAATGACCAAGCTGTGCCTCATCACACCCTTCTCCAAATGCTGCAGAGGGAGCATTGCAAGATGTGTTTCTGGTACAGCTCTCAGGATACACCAGTCTGCTTTGCTGTCTGGTGCTCAGCAGAACCCCTGACACTGCTTAGGGCAGCCAGGAGTTTGAGAACACAGAGGCTTCCTTTAGCCCTCTGATTATCCCTGGTGCTTTCCCACCAGGGAGAGCCTGAATTCAGTCTGTGCCACAGCTCCCAAGATGCTGTGAACGAGACACATCCACCCCAGAGTCTGGGAAGGTGCCTGTGCTGGATAAAAGGGCTCCAAGGGTGCAGTGAAGGCTGTCTGGAAGCTTTGCCCCGTGACTGGGGATGAAGAGGCAGACAAATAATCACATCTTCTCCTGTGAACATGTGAACTGATGTTCTGGCTTTGCCCCTCTCACACAAAGCTTCCATGAGAAGCAGCAGGGGTCTAACAGCCTACAAAGCTTCAGATTTAGCCTGAAACTCTCCCTGACAGGAGTGTAAAGTTTGAAACAGAAAATAAAATTATTTTACTAGTCCTCTCTGTTCTTACAACTCCACTGCAGCCTAGCACAGCTCTGGCCATAGGCAGACAAGTCCCCAAAACCTGAGGATTCTTCCTAATCTGCATCACAGGTCACTATATTGTTCCACTGCTACTTTTACCACCCCAAATTTGCTTTGCTGAAAAGCACTTCCTCTGTTTGAGTATATATTTATTTCTATAAAACTCATTTTTTCTTAGGTAAAATGATTTAAATGGCGATCTTTGATGTATACTGTGTTCCTACATCAAGAATTGGAATGTTCACCCAGTTATTTCTCAGCCCAATTCTGGCAGAGAATCTGGATTAAATGCAAAATAAACTCACAAGAAAAAGCCTACTTGCAGAGCACAGAGTTAAAAAAGGAATTTCATTGCTTGAGACTGGACCAAACTCCCTTTGTCCTAATAATGAAGGACCAGTAAGTTTCTAAAAAGTTTTTCTCAAAATAATTACAAGATTAACTTGCAAAAATGGAACACAGCATTCCAGGAATAAACCTGGGGCAAAAGCATTTTAAAAATCTCCTGGTAAATATATTATTATTAAGGATAAGAGAGTAATAATCTATGCTTTCAGAGAAAATCTCAATAGCCATTCAAGTTACAAATTAATTTAGTACCTCCTAAACTCATGCCAAACATGACTTTGACCTAGGGGTGGCTGCTGTGTGGACAGGATGTCACACAGATGTGCCACAGCAAGGCAGGGGCCCTTTCCCCACGAGCCCTGAACTGTGCCTGAGCTTTCCCTGAGCCCTGGCTGCAGACAAAGCCACCATGGGCTGGGCATCTTGGCATGAGTGTGTGCCACTTATTTCCCAGAAATGGCACCGATGCAAACAAGTGAGCAAAGTCAGATTGTTGGCTACCAGTTCAATCATACCCTTGGACTGTAAAAACAATTTTTCCTGGTATGGACCAGGCCAAGTTTTAAACTGAAATTGTAAGCAATAAATCTCTGGCAATCAATTAAGGATGAGGGAAGGGGGGATATAATAATCCAGTTGTCAGCCAGGCTGTTCAGTCTGCAAGCATTCATTGGCAGAAAAAAGGTGAAAGTCATAAAATGAAAAGGGGGGAAAAAATAGGCTCCTGGGCTATTCAAGACAGAGACAGACACAGTGTGAGGGTTTCCAACAGAAAGATAACAGATCAAGATGGGGGATACAGATGCACACATGTTCTGCATCTCTCCCATAGATCTAGTTTAATAAAGCACAAATGATGATCATTTTTTTCTTTTTTTAATCTATTATTGGGTTTTTTCAAGTGTGTAAGTGTGTCTTAATCAAAAGAACAGTTCCATACAGCTCTTGACATCAAAGAAAAGCATTTCCAAAGCTATTACAGTATCAAAGTAATATTCTGTGCAGAATCTAAGGTGAACCATTGGAATAATCCTTCTGGGATAGAGATGAAAAAATGCTGCATTCAGTGTTGCCCAGAAGCATCCAAAGCAATCTATCAAAAAAAGACATAAAAATATTGAGCCACACTTATTTGATGCATGTACTCACCACTACTATTATTTTCCTCCATTTTCTCTTTGTCTGCTTAGCTACTAATCTTACCTTTGTCTGAAAGTTCCTGCTGTACATATGAAAGTACCAGAGCTGATTAGCGAGTCACAGGAGGAAATGACCTCTGATGTGCTTCAAATTCATGCACCTTTTATGTATTTGAATCACATTATGAAAAAAAAAAAGTGTTAAGGCAAAAATAGCATCATTGTAGCAGCACTAAGGTGAGAGTGCTGGACATGAGCGATCCTTTTCATGTGCCCTTAATACATTTTCACTGTGCTATTAGAGACTTCTGCTGATTGAATACACATTTAAAGGTAAGCTATATTTAACTGGAGCAGTTTAGTTGGATAACCCATTTCAGTAAAAGCCTTTGCTAATCTGAGCAACCATCAATTTAATTATATTTCCTGTACAACACAGAGATTTCTCCCTTCAGCTGTGTGAGTGAAGCACCAGTTTCCTTGCAGAAGAGATGCGTAGTCTGGTTGCTGCTGTGGTCAAGAGAACAGAGGGGGTGAGAGCAGAGGGGAAGAGAAGGCAAGGAGAAGTTACCAAACACAAAAAAGCTCTTCCATCTGACAACAGTAGTTAACTTGCTCCTTGAACTTAACATCTGGTAGCATTTCATCTTCTGAACACTTGTAAAACCTTATGGTACTTTAGACAGTGGGAGTTCCTTTCCAAAAGAAATTTTAACAGTACAAAGAGACCACAAAATCTATTTCTTACTGGGCATGGGGGCTCTAATTCTCAACTCACTTCAAGAAGCTTACTTCAAGAATACCCTTGAAGTTCTTCCTTTGCGTAGTTTTTTGAGAGCAGTTTTAGCATTAACTTTCAGCGGGGATAATATGCATATATGAAAACATTGCCTCTATATTCCTCATAATTAAGGAATAAGTGAGGGTAGATACAGATATTTTTTCTCCTTAACTGCCTAATAAGACCAGTATAGGAACCAGAGAAAACTTCATTGCTACCAAAACACATCTAAAATTAATATCCACAGAGGAAGATACAGTATTCTTGTCAAACAATGGTTCCCACCTTTGAATATCCAATTAGCAGTGCCAAGGGCCTGTGGGGGGGTAAGGAACAGCTTCCCATGCCCTGGAAGGGGGCACAGTGGCATGGATGCCTTCCTGCTGCTGCAGGAGAGGGTGGCAGTGATGGCGTGGGATGCTCTGCCCCCCGTGCAGGCAAGCACATCCAAGGAAATGAAGCCAGTTAGAGGCTACCACATCCTAATTCCTTCTTTCCTCAGCACTGCTAAAGCTATGCTGGAAACAGAATTTGGGTTAAATGAAGACAGCAAAGATTGCTAGTTTGATATTAAATGAGCTTTAAAGGAACTCCACCACTGCCAGTGTGCAAGCAGCACCAAGAGTCACCCAGCCACATCCACCCTGAGCTGTAGGAACTGGTTACAACCAGGCTTCACTCACAACACAAATGTAAAAAGGCCCTTTAGAAGGGTTTCTTTCTGACACATTTCTATATTGCTGCATGATGGCTGTCCTCAATACATGGAATTAACACCTGCTCCTTTTGGGAAAGATTATTTTCAAAAAGCAAAGGATGTGACTAGGTAAGGATTCTTTGCTGACTACTAAGTCTCTGGACCAGCAGTGCACTCTGCATTTGCCTCTCTCTAAATCAGCACCACCCCAAAGCATGAAACAAACCTGTGATCATAAGAAAAATGCAATCCAAACCTGCTGTGACCCAAAATGCAATGGTTTTGCCTCGGTCTATGAGACAGCATGTAATAAAGAGCAAACCTGGAATGAATACTAAGCTTTGCATAAACACTACTGCAATTAAAATAGGGTTGAGTTACTTGCAAATACTACAGATTCATTAAGAACCATCAAATTGGAGAAAACTATGCGGAATTGCAAAATTCATTTATGAAAAGGGAAAAAGAGCAACATCTAACAGAAGAAAGAAATACTTTTCACTACGGTCAAACATAAGATAATGCATTCTAGAAAAAATAATGGAAAGAAAAATTATTTTCCTTCCAAATTAGGTTTGTTCCAAAATTTATTTTAAAGCAATTGTAGAAGCAGACACACTTGAAGACAGATCTTTAAAAATATTACACTCCTAGATCAGATGAAGAAAGTTCCAAAATAAAGGAACCAGACAGCAGTTTTAGCAATGCAGATGCAATCTGCAAGACAGATTCTGAACAACCTCAAGTACCAAACGTAGTGTGCTGAATCCAAAGGTAGGGCAGTCGTGAGAAGTTGTTACCACCCCAACTTTTGGAGAAACCTTTGCAAGAACTCACAGTCAGAACCATCCTTCAGAATTTTCTACCCTTACTGTACAAAGGAAATTCTGCTTCTCAGCTGGGACTCTCCTTTTCCTCAGCATCCTGTGTTTCCTTAATTTGAAGTTTGGGAAAGTTCCAGGTGTGACGGGTCCCGAGACGCTGTGGCAGTCGCGGTCCCAAGGCGGGGCCGGAGCCCCCTCAGGGCGGTGGCTGAGGGCCCCGCTGGCCCCGGTGACCCCGCACTCCTGTCACACCTCCCGGGCCCAGGCGTCCCTTGGCAGCGCCTCAGCCTCGTTCCATAAAGCCATTTATTCACGGCACGGTAACACTGCGACAGCCCGAGCCGGGGAGGGATCCCCCAGAAAGGACCACCCGGGCTTTTATCCCCTCACAGCCCAACCGCGGGAAAGTTTCGCTTTCCCCCCTCAGCGCCGTGCCTCCCTCACCCGGCTGCGCCACCTCTCACGGCCTCCCATCTGCCTCCCTCCCGGAGCTCACCCTGCATCCCAAGCTGATCCCGGCCTGCAGCTGCAAACTGAGCCGCCTGCTCCAGGCGTGTCCCGCAACAGCTGGGAGAGGCGATCAGCTCCCGCAGCGGGGATGGATCTCCGCGCCCCTCAGGAGCCGAGCAGTGCCGGGAGGCGCAGCCCTGCCCCGCGGGAGCTGCCCCGGGGGCGCACGCACCGGGCTGGCCCTGCGGTACACACCGGCCTCGCCTTTGCCCCTGTACCGCACTCGGGAAAAACACGCTGGACAAACACAGGCTCCTCTTCCACCTCATCCTGATTGCACCAATGTCTTGTGATGGATTTCATGAAAGTTTTGTAGAGCTCGAACTTCGGTAGAAATTTGCTAAGTATTTATCACCATGCTGCCCTAGAGGGATCAAAAATCAAGAAACATGCTCATAGACAGCTTCCCATTAAATCCATGCATAAGCACTTGTACTTTTGAACAACTGGACAAATTATTGAGATATGGCTCTGCCTGAAACAAAAAGAATAACCCCAGTTGGCCAAAAGCCAAGTAATCCCTACGAAACTGCAATGAGCAGAGCAATTTTTCAGAGCAGGCTTATATACTGTATTTAGCACAGGCTGTAACATTAAGATCATTATTTACATTTTTACTATCTTTAATGGGCTCTTATTTGCTCTAGAGAAAGCAAAAAAGAATCTAAAGAAAAGTGAAATTATACATGGAGCCATTTACCACAGGTAAAATGTGTTTCTTACTCATTTACAACACCTTAAATATACACCTTAAATATGGTGTAGATAGAATACCATGAGAAACCACCATTCTGGGGAAAAGATGGAAGAAGGCAGTTCTAGAAAAAGATTTCTATCTTATGGAAGACGTCCCTTTTTTCTGCCAGCATATTTGAGAGACTCGTGTATTCTCTTATTTCCTCTGCCTCACTTGTCTACAAGATGACAAGTGATGCCCAACTACTTTGGCATATCATATTGCATTGTGTCATTCCACCACCTGCCAATGCCAATGGCCCATCAAGCCTGGAAAATCAAAAGCAGCAATTTGTTAGAAACTAGGAAAAGAAAAAAAAAACCCACCAACCCACCACATTTTAAGCCAAAAATAGAAATATTAATTTTGTATTAGTAAATAGACCATGAAATATTGATCCACAAAAGTGAGTGAGCATGAGTAATGTATCAATCTCTTAAACAGATTCAAGGATTTAGAAGTATTTCAGTATTCATGTATTGGTAGCTGTGTGGAAGACAACATCTATCTCAGATCAATTATGATTCTGCAAAACACTGCTGCTCTTTATACTTTCCTTTAAGGGCAGCAGATCTCATGACAAAAGAAAAGCTAAAGAAACTACATGTTATAATAAAAATATTATTATGGAACAATAACCGAACATGTAGTAAAAGGCAGTGCTATTAAAAAAAGTCTGCCTGGATCCTCATTTGTTCTTAAAGATTAATGCTGAATCAAAGAGAAGTATATTTGTTATAGAAGCACAGAAAAATCCTTCTTTTTTATACAGTCCACATTTATCAACAAAATCATCTCTCAGGAAAAAAGAAATCACTGTTTGCTTTGCTCTGCAGTGAGTCTTAATGGAGACAACAGCGAGAGAGAAAACAGCAAGTTTACCAGTACTAGCCAAATTATAGCAATTATTTTGAAAGGTGCTATCCTCTGGGTAATTGCTTTGCTCCTTGTAATGCTGCACAAATACTCTTCACAAGAGTGTTTGCTTAAGATCTAATCCCACACTGTCCTGGAGCACAACTTGGCATCTTCAGTCAGGCAAATTTTCAAAATCCTCCATACTGTGGCCTCTCAATTTTCTCAACAGCTGCCATGTACAAATTGTTGGTGATCATCCTTTGTGCTCAACTGAGCTAACAAAGTCTGCTCAGAGGCTCCTAGCCCAGCTTCTATGCTGCTCTGGCAAAGCACTTTGCAATGTTACCAGATTCCTGGAGTGGAAATTGATTTCTGTGTCCCACTAGGGAGATGGGGAAAGGAATGGCCAAAGCCATCTCACCCTCAAATCACAGCAGAGGTGTGTGAGAAAGCAAGCACAAAATTACTGGAGAATAAGAAAAGGTCACCAAGCCAGGTGCTGTGAAAAGGGTGTAACATGGAAAGAGAAGATTCCCAAAGCACAGGGTGGAGCAATGCTAAGGGCAAAATGCAAAACCACCAGCTAAGAACGGCATGAAATTCACAGAAACTAAGAATGCTAAAAAAAGGCCAGAAGCACTTTAGGAACTGGCTCCACTCCAGTAAGAGCGGGGCCCAGGACTCCTGCTCACTCAATTTGCTGTGAAACGTTCTGCTGGGAACATCTCTGTGGAACATGATGGAAGTCTGCACTGTGCAAGTTGCACACAAAAATGAAATGGAAAGTGAGACATAATTAGGGTTAAACTGTACAACACAGGTCATTTGGGTAGAACTGTGCCATGTTTTTCCATACCGAGAAGATCAGGCTTTCCAATGACAGCTAAATTACTTTTCTTGGCTACCCAGTTTAAAAGCATCCACAACACCCACATCCACATAATAAATGCTCAGTACACGTGAATAATCAAGTCCCTCTATGGTGGTCAAAGATGGGCATCCATGGAGTTCATGGATGCCCATGAACCCCATGGCACACACCTTAAATGACCTAGGCAGCATTTCTCTGCCTGTAGAACAGCCCATGGCCAGGCAGGAGCTCGGGCAGAGGCTGCACAAGCTCAGCTGCTGGAGGGGGAGCTCATCCCACAGCCTGCCTGGAACCAGCCTCCCTCTCCTTCACAGGTCAGCATCTGGTAGGAAATTGTCACACTGACAGTGCAGATGGACAGATCGACTGAATCTTAACAACTCTGGGCAGACTGACCTCAGAACTACCACTTCTACTCCTGAACAAAGTGCCACACAAGCCAGAACAACTAAAGGTACAATATTAATTCATGCAATCATGATCTCTTAAGAGTCTGATATCATATTTTTAACAAATACATCAACAAAAAGTAGTCCTAAGACTAGGACAACATGGTTTTCATATGAAAATTATATAACTAATTTAAAAAGAGGCATGAATATGTTTCCTATTTATGTTCTGGAGCTGAGCAAAAATTATTCTGAAATACCTCCAGCAGTCTGTGTTCATTTTAGGGGACACGTAAATTATTTTAAGGGAATAATACATCTCCAAGGACATTTTAATGGATTAAATGTCAAGAATGAAATACTGCATTTCAACTTAGCTAGGACCTTAAAGAATTAATATACTGACAATTATTGAGAGGTCTGAAGAACACAATTGATTTCTTGCAATTTAAACTCTGAGACACTTCACGCACTTAAACAGAATTTCTATTTCAAGTTTTCATTGCATAAAACTATGAAGTATGTAAAGATATAATGCTGACAATATTTTAAAGTTTATGAGAGAACTGCAGAGTGTCTGATTTAAAAGGAAGTTCTGTTTTAGGACTGAATTTTAAGCACTGAATTTTATGCTCAATTACTGTGAAATAAATTACAATTATGATCTACTTTCTTTTTCTAATTCTTTTAGCAGTAGCTTGACGGTCCTATACAAAGCCAGAAATTCAATATCATGAGGAAATAAAAGGGCCAAATTCCAACAAGAGCCCCATAAAGCAAGAAGTTACATATTGGGAAGGTGCTTTGCTGCAGGCAAATGGCTGCCAGCATTCCAAATCAAACTGTGAGGCAACACACTGCAGATGTACCTGTGCTCAATACACAAAATATTCTCACACAGATACACCACTTAAGTTACAATGGGATTCTGGTCATTATAATGGCACTTGGATACTACTCTTAAAAAAAAAAAAAAAAAAAAAAAAAATCCAAACATACTGTGTCTAATTTAACTTTCATACAGAAAAAGAAATACTGATCATTAATTGCAAAACATACACAAAATTCTCATACCACCCTGTGTTAGAATGCACAATGTATGTGTAGGTTGCCTTTATAAAACCTGTGACTGTTTTTAGAGCTATCAGTGCTGTCTAAAGAAAATATCCAAGACTGAAGGCAACAATAAATGGGAAGAATACTGTATCTATGAAAAGTAATATGTTCAATTTCATGGATATTACCTGAACATCCATCTGTTTCTATCCATTTGGGACCATTGTCATCAACATGTGCACTCTGAGAAAACAAAAAATAAAGCAATTCTCCAATAAAATACAGTTTTCTAAGTAGATTGCTTACCATCACACTTACTGAACAGGCAGGGTTTTTTTTAAAAAGCATTTTAGCTCAAAACCATTACCACCCTCTTGTATCATTACTGCTGTAAAGATGACAGCTTGCCAGTTATTGCACTGGTGGAGTTTCACAAGGTCTTCCTGGGATTTGTGACAGTGGGAGGGATGGCCCAGTGTTACAGCAACAGAACACCAATAACAGGTAAGGGTCACCCACAGGATCCTCTGCCCTTTTGCTTGAGCTGACAACTGGCAGTGAACTGCCCTCTGCTTCTCCAACCTCCAGGCAAGTGGGTCATTCCTTCCAACTGGTTATCCCCAGGGAGGGGCAGGAGCTGGGGAAGGAAACTCAGCAGCCCAGAGGCCCCGTGCTGGCTGCTGGATCAATGGCCAGTGTCAGCAGGCTCCCAGTTAATGATGCTGGAGCCAGCCTTGCTCCCGGCCAGGCTTACCACAGGTACCCACACACAGGGCACGGGGCTCTGGAAAAGCCAAATAATTGCCTCATTTTGCAGTATGAGGAATTTTTTGTTAAAGGCATACACCTGGCATTTTGTGTTCCTAGGATCAGCCCTTAGATTTGAACAAAGAAAAGATGTTCACATTCACAACAGTGCCATGTGACAGCCAAGGGCAGCCAACAGCATCTGTGTGACTACAGATCCACGTACAAAGGTTTGCTACAAAGAATGCAGTGATTTGTAAGCCTTACTTACGTGTGTGTAAATGTATATAAACTTCATGTTTATAGAATAATTTTTATTATTGTTTTAGGATGAGAAGTGCTTGGCAAACACACAAAACCCAATTAAAAAAAAAAAAACAACCACACCACAGGAAAATACAACCGCAAAACAGGCAAATCCTTGTCCTGTTTCTATGATAAAAGGATGGAGCACTTGAAGTCATCTCTGTATCCATGTATGCTCTGGAGTGGAACAACTGAATTATGGAAATGGGATAACTGTAAAAGGTTCTTCAAACTACTGACTTATTATTACTCCATGCAAACTACCTACAAAAACTCTCCCACTCAAGGCAAGTGTTCAGCCAGGCTCTGTTTCAGCCCCAAATATGCAGTCCAG